CTCCTTGTCCCCTGACTGCCCCCTCCTGAGACCCCCCCATCCTAACTGCCCCCCTAGGACTCTACCCCCTACCTGTCCCGACTGCCCAAAACCTTATTCACACCCCCGCCCCCTGACAGCCCCCCCGAACTCCTGACCCATCCAACCCTCCCCCTTCTCCCTGTCTCTTGACTGCCCCCTCCAGAACCTCCCTGCCCCTTCTCCAATCCCCTGGCCCCCTTACCGTGCCGCTCAGAACAGCGTGTCCCTTGCAGAGTGCTGCTGAGCGGCTTGCTGGGCAGCAGGGGAGGGGGAGCAGGGGGAGGAGCTCCAGACTGCTGGAGGCCCGATGTGAATGTCTGGTGATCTGCGAATACAGGGAGGGGGAGGGGGGAAGAGAGAGGAGGGGAGTGAACTGAAGCTGCAGGGGAGAGGAGGGGGAAGCGGAGGAGGGGCTCTGGCTGCCGCAGCCCCATGCAAGTGGCTCGATCCAGCTGGCTGCCCTGTCAGCCGTGCCACACTCTGCATGGGTGGGGGGGAAATCCGGACATTTACAAATTCCCCCCGGACGCTATTTTTAAACTAAAAAATCCGGACATGTCCGGGAGAATCTGGCCAAATGGTAACCCTAACTACGGAGACCCAAGAATGGATGCAATACTCCAGATGTGGCCTCACCAGTGCCGAATAGAGGGGAATAATCACTTCCCTCAATCTGATAGCAATGTTCCTACTATATGCCGTTAGCCTTCTTGGCAACAAGGGCACTCTGTTGACTCATATCCAGCTTCTCATCCACTGTAATCCCCAGGTCCTTTTCTGCAGAACTGCCATTTAGCCAGTTGGTCCCTAGTCTGTAGCAGTGCATGGGATTCTTCCGTCCTAAGTGCAGGACTCGGCACTTGTACTTGTTGAACCGCATAAGATTTCTTTTGGCCCAATCCTCCAATTTGTCTAGGTCACTCTGGACCCTATCCCTACCCTCCAGCATATCTACTTCTCCCTCCAGTTTAATGTCATCCATGAACTTGCTGAGGATGCAATCCATCCCATCATCCAGATCATTAATGCACTCCTCAAAGTATTTTGTCACACCCATGTTTGGCAGTATTAGATTTCATCCCAATTTGCATAATAGTTGAGATTGAATATATATTTACTACTGTAGTTGATTGCTGTCCTTCACTTGGAAGTATTTAAAATTAGCCAAGAAAGGACACACAAATTACTGAGGGGTCAAATTAAAAAAAACCTGTCTAATCTAATTTGAGAGCTACATACCTGTCTTCAGTTTTCTATGGTGCCTATCACTACTTGGATTTTACCTGCCTCTTTTGGAGCAAAATTGATTGAGATTTTTGGCAACCAACTTTAAAGCATATGTGTCAAATGTTCTTCATGTCTAAGCATATCATTAATTTTAGTCTCGAAGTTATCTAAGAACCACACAAATGTGTCCCCTCACTTGCTGAAACTTATTCACATCGGGAATAATGAATCATGAAACAGGCAGACTGAAGGCAGAAACCTTCTGATATGCCCCCATTGCCATAGTATCACAGAACCACACAACTTTTAATGTATTTATCCTCATGACAACCCTTGTGAGGTAGGGAAGTGCTATTAACCCCATTTTACAGATGGTGAACTGAGGCACAGAGAGACTATGTGACTTGTCCAAGGTCACACTGGAAGCATGTAGTGGAGCAGGGAACAAGCTGGGTGTCCCAAGTCCCTGGTTAGTGCCCTAACCACTGACTCATCCTTCCCCCAGTCCTGCAGCATTTTAAATTCCATCCATAAATACTTGTTTTTGTGGTTTGAGATTATTTTCACACCCTTTGCCTCACATTTAGGCTTTAGCAGGTTGAGAGGTCTTAGGTAAAGCAAAAAGTAAATTGAATGAAACAACCATGTGATAATTGGATATAGATCCCAGTTAAAGTCCAGATTCAAATCCAAACCTGAATTTGAAAACCTCAAAGTTTGTGGGGGGTTCAGATCAGTGATATGAGTTTGGTCAATTTTGAAGATGGGGACCATCTGCAAAATTCTGATCGAAATTTAGGTACATTAAGATTTTGGAATGATCAGATTGGAGGTTTTGTTTCAGACCTGTCTCAGGTCTAACCTTGCAAAATTCTCTAATTTCATTAATACCTCTTTATTTTGTGAAGCCTCCAGTAGTGCTTGAGAAATTGCATAAAAATTTACAGTTTACAGGGGAGAGCTAGCTCAACAGAGGGGAGGGATAGCTCAGAGGTTTGAGCATTGGCCTCCTAAACTTAGGGTTATGAGCTCAATCCTTGAGGGGGCCACTTAGGGATCTGGGGCAAATCAGTACTTGGTCCTCCTAATGAAGGGAGGGGGCTGGACTTTATGACCTTTCAGAGTCCCTTCCAGTTCTATGAGCTAAGTATATCTCCATATTATTATTATTTTATATACAGTTTATGACTGTGTCAAAACCTCAAGAAACTGTCCCAGGAAAGAGGCTAGATCTGGGTATGACTTAGCAAACCCATCAGACAAACAAAATGTGCACAGCTGTGACCTTTGGGCAGAAGCCTTGGCATCACCGACTACTAATGCAGACGTTTTTCCACGCTTTTAGCTACAATGAAAAAAACACTATGGGAAGCAGGTTCCCAAAGAGATATAACAAAAGAAGAAAGCCTTCAGAAAAGCAGGATATGAAAGGAAAATTTTTGTTGGCAAGAGCTAATAGTCTTGCACATGTTTACCTTTCAAACATTTAGGGCCAGTTTAGGCCTTCACTTACTCAATCCAACCCACTGAAGAATGAGTTTGTATGGGTGTAACTGCACCCAGAATTTAGCTCACCATTTATCAAATATGGTCAGATTGAAGATTAACTTTCTTTGTTGAATATTTATTAGTGTTTCACTTCACTTGAAATATGAACTGCAAGTCCTTTCATAAATAAATTAAAGCTGTCTAGTTTAAATGTGGTGTCAGTAAATCTTTGAAACTTGTTATAAGTCTGATCCAAAGCCTGTTGTAGTCAACGGGAGATTTTCCAGTGATTTCAAGGGCTTTGGATAAGGTCCTAAGTGCAGTGAGCTGGTATAATAAGTTATAAATAAAATTTTAGCAGGTCTCTTTGCTATAGCAACGATACTGCTGGAGTGTACTTTTCTCAACCATGTGACAGAACAAGTGTCACAATATTAGAGCTGAAAGGGGGTCTGAGCACACTCATTTCAGTATGTCATGCAGTTAAAATAATGCAGACCTAAAATGGTGATGTTCCTAATGCTTATATTAATGACCTGACCTTTCTCATTGTTGTTCTTTTCAAACTTATGTCATTTGATATTGCATATAAGACTGCCATGTTTCTAGGAAAACAATACATGTAGACTCTATACCACAGTCCCCAAAAGTGACTTTACCAGGAAACAGTAAGTCAGGGTCCGTGGTCATTTCCCCTCCCCCTTTCCTTCTTCCTCCCCCCCCCCCCCCCACTCCCCTCGCTGCGGGATATTTGCTTTTCATTGTGTCAAGCCAAAATAATTGACATATTTTATTATTAACAGTAATTCAGCACTAGAGGTGGGCTGCCCTGCTAATGGTCATGTCTACTTCAGTAAGCATGTGGGGCTCACTTCTGCTCTCTGTGTGAAAAAAGTGAACTGATAAAAGTTGCTAAATTTTGGTATATTGTATGAGAAGCTCATCTGGGGGAACTGTATCTGTGCTTTCTTCTTCAAAATCTAGTTCTCTCATTCGTATATACTATTATTATATCTAGGCTTATTTTGCTGCATATATTATTCTAAATCTCCCTATGTGCCTTATTCTGGCAACTTAACTGCAATGAGATTCCTATGGTCCCATTTTTATCATTTTACCTGACTGTAATTATTAACTAAATAATTGTGCTCAGTATTAGGAGCCTGATCCAAAGCCCAGTGAAATCATTCGGAGGCTTTTCGTTGACTTCAGTGGGCTTTGGAACAGGCCCTGAATGAAGAATAACCTTTGAATTTATGTATTGTCAGCTTTTAGGGAGGAGCAGGTGCCACAGTAACTTTATTAATATGCTTAAATTATCTTAATCTTACCTTCATGGGTCGGTCAAGCTTAGAGATGCCTATGGACTGAATTCTTCTCTTCTGATTTTCCTAATTTCTCCTTTCCTTCTTAGTTTACTCCTATATTCTCTGTCATCTCGTAACACACTTTTTTTTTACTTGTCCTTATTCCACTACTATTATTTGTACTACTGTAGCATTCAAAAAACACCAGTCAAAGAGCAGTGCCCATTACACTTAGGCACTACATCAACAAGCAGAAAAGACAGCACTCCTGATACAGATTTAGAAATCTGTCTGTGGGAGCAGACTCTCTTGTAAGATTTCTGACTTTTTCTGGTTAGGACAGAAATTCAGCAAAAATCAGGTTCAGCAGATGCAAAATCCATTCAGCAGTAACATTCAATTTGGCAATACAGAACCCCACAATCCATCATTTCCTAAGGTGGATTGAGGGGCAACAGCTGGTGAAGGAGCCCTGAACACGGGACAGAATGGAGCTGTTGGTTACTAGTGCAGCAGCATTGAAGCTCTGGGCAGACGGCCCTTTGCCTTTGCACATCCTACAAGATCTACATGGATCTGCTATTTCTGTGGGGTTGGAGGAATTCTTGGCTGTCTCTCCAATGGAAGGATGTGAAGTCAACTCCATTAGTGCAAACCATGAAAGTTATACAGATTTGTATCCTGAAAGAAACCAAACTTGTTATTTCATTATTTCACACTATACCTTAATCCTTAAACTACCAAATATAGACACTATTAGGAACCTATGTTGTTTTTAAGGACATCTTAATTGTTCTCTGAAAGTGTGGTTCTCTGTAATAACATAACTAGGAAAAAGACACACTCACTCCCCCTGAATTTTAGCCATTGCTTTGATGTACAGACCAAAGAGTTAGTCTTAGAGCTTTCCCCCACAAAAATTCTGAATAAAAAAATTTCTTTTGAATATTTTCCTTTGACATTTTAACATTTTTTGGGAAATTGGGAAAATTGGGAAAATGTGAAATTTTTAATTTCAGTTCAAAATAAAATATTACTTGAAAGTGTGCTTCAATAGAGCAGAGATATACTTCTGTGTAAACAGAAGAATGGAGAAAACCAACCTTGGGAATGTGTCTTCAAACCAGGAACATTGCTCAGACTTGTATTTTTTTAAACCAGCAAAAGTACAACTGATGGATGAACATCAAGAGAGTTAGACTGAGACAAAAAGGCTCCATTTAGGTCAGCAGGCCACTTATGGTCAGGATCAGGGCTAAGGTTTGGCAGATGAAATCTGAATTGTGATGCCACACCATGACAAACGCAATCTGGTTCCAATGCCAGTAAAGTCCACGCTCCAGGGATGGAGTGCAGGCAGCAGGAAACTGGAGCTGGCCGTATGGGAAAGCATTGCTTCTCTTTATCCATGCACGCCAATGAAAGTCTCCCAGTATGCAGGACTTTTCCAGGCTGCAATCATATTGTGAGGGTGCATGTGTCATACTTAAACCTATGATGTTTCAGTTCAGCAGATTCTAATAGAGTTTATTCAGATAGACTCTTTTTTTGTAACCACTCATCTGGTTCTTAAATAAATATATAACTATGGCATTGACCTCATCTACTATACTTATGAGTGGTTTCAGAGTAGCAGCCGTGTTAGTCTGTATCCGCAAAAAGAACAGGAGTACTTGTGGCACCCTTGTTAGTTTCTAAGGTGCCACAAGTACTCCTGTTCTTTATATTTATGAGTGAATACCACAGATTCAATTCTGTACATGAAAATGGAAAGCACATTTCACTTTGGTGACTCCTAAACAAGAAACTTCATTAAAAGAACTGACTGTCTGAAAGATTAATTCAATGGAGTCCGTTAAAACCCCAAGAAAATTACACATACTTTGCAAAAATGCCATACCTCCAGAAGGAATCCCATGTTAAAAGGTTTGGAAAGCAACAGCTAAGGGATCCTGACAGCCCCTAGTGCCATAATATTCTTCACTTTTCAATATCATGATTTACGTCATCCACCTAACCTCCGGGTTGAACCACTAGCCACAACCAAGCTATGTATGTTCTCCATTCCCTGCCTTTACGGTGGAGGGTGGGATTCTGTTATTCCTCCTAATCCAACACTTCATAGTTCCACCAAACAAGGCTTTTTTAGTCAGACTTTGGTGGAATTTTACCCATCCACAGGAAGTAAATGGATTTATTTTTCCTGACTATAACTATACTTTAAGAAACAGAGAAATGGGGCATTTGTACTGAAAATATGGCCCTAAATTATGAATGGAGGGGGGGGGTACCAAAAAGCACTGAAACAGATGTACATTTTGTTTTCTTAGTAGACAAAGCAGCCATTGTGAAAGCTGAAGGATATCACCAATGGGTGGTAATGCTGACAGCAGAAAATCAAAGAAACCTTAGCACTAAGGCAACAGTATAACATAAAAAAATGTGTCAGCTCTCCGTGGCCACGCAGATTATCACTCACATCATGATGGAAGGTAAGAATTGTTTCCCAGTGTGGTGTTGACACTGTATGAGCTTTAATCTGTTGTTCTTTGCCTTTCAGATCTCTTGCTTCAGAACACAAACACTAACAAGATGACAAAAGCAGTATTTGAGCATTATATCTACTTGCAAACTAGCATTTCAAGTTCAAGTTTAGACATACTAGCACACAAAGCAAAATGAAGAGGAAGGCTGTGATTTTAATGGGGCTTTAACCTCTTTTGTTCTTTGACCTTTTGTAGCTCTCAGAATATATCAACACTTCTGTCGCATGAATTACCTTATCAGCTTAGTCAATGCTGATATAGCCATTTATGCATCCAATTACAGCTAGAAGCATAGATTTTGGGGCTTTTCACCCCATTTCCAGCTGCAGGTATCCCAAAGCACTAAGCAATAAGGCCCAAATCCTGTGCGTCAGCACACAACTCAAGCACTGGGTTAATGCTAGTGATCACTGCAAAGGGGGAATGGAGAGAGGTAGCATCATGCCCAGACTGCAGAGTGACTGTTCAGCAGCTACTACTGCCATGAATCTGCCAAAACTCCCATGTCTCCCTTATCTCTGCTTTGTGGAGGGCCAAGGCGGGTTGGGATAGTCAGAGAAAAATGTGTTTTATTGAAATACAACATTTCATATTATATTTTTTAAACTCTAAGTTTGCATATAATAAGACTTATCTTCAACATTCTCTTTTTCTCCCTTTTATAACTAATTCATTTCTTTGATAGCTGCTGGACTGACAGCTCCAGAACTGAAGGTTTTTTTCATAGCATAGGTGACAACATGCAAGCTTACGATTGCCCAGGAAAGGTCTCTTAATGGAACACTCACTAGGAGTAAGAGGGTAGTTCAGTCTCTCTGACCAGTCACTTCTTGGTCTTTCTACACAACTGGTCAATCAGGACCTAGCTAATGGTAATTTGTGGGCTGGTTTGTAATGAGATTGTAATGCAGAGGATAGACTTGATGAATGAGAGATAATAGGTAGGGTGGGGATAGGCCATGAAGGGCCTTGAAAGTAAACCAAGTAGCTTATCTTTGACAAAATCGAGGAAGAGCCAGTGGATGGCTGCAAACAGAGGTGTGACATGGATCAATGACAGGCTAGGAAAATGATCGTTGCAGCAGTATTCTGAATGCATATGAACAGGGCAAGACTGCATTTGTAAAGGCCAGAGAGAAAGATGTTGCAGTAAATCATGCCACAAGATAAGGGCCTGGGTGAGTGTTGTAGCTGAGTAGATAGATAGGAAAGGACGTGTCTTAGAAACGGAATTTTAAGAAAGAATTGGCAAGATTTAGATAGAGCCTGGAGGGGGGACTTAGAAAAAACTCTGAGTTATAGATGATGCCAGGATACAGTCCTGAGTGACAAGCAGGATAGTGGCATTGGCCACAGCGACTGAGAAAAGAAGTAGGAGGGTAGGCTTCAGGGGGAAGATTAAGACTTCTGTTTTTACCCACTGTGCGCTTTAGCTGATGGCTAGACATTTACAAGGAGATGTCAGAGAGACCCTAAGGTTTTCAGAACTAGATCTTGTTGTGTTTCAAATAGTTAATTCTTTTATCTTCCCTGAGCACAACGCTTTTATAATAAAAAATTAGCTGCTGTTTGGGTATCAGCAGTTTCCTGTGTTTAAGTTTACCACAATTGCACCACAGCTACCTTGTTAGTGTCCTTTAGCCTCTCACATTTTTAGTGATATGAGTGTGCATTTCCTTTTCTGGAGAGATTAGAGGCAGGAAATGCTGTCCATTTTTATCTCCGATATGTCATGTATGGTAGAGAATTAAGAAGTATGACCTGTTGTTTTTTGAAATTCCCAAACCAAAAGGGCTTATCGAAGCCCCAGCTTTTACCACCTGTCAGACATAGTTCTCACACTTCATAAAACTGCCTCTCACATTGGTACCATTTTCTGTAACAGTTTGTTAATAAATTCCATCCAAATCTCAAAGTGTTTCACATGACAAGCTGAAGAATATCACTGATAAAGCATGCTTATGCTGCTTAGCAGCCCTCCAGGGACTGCCAGGTTAATGTTTTTGTGGAAGGAGACAGAGATAACATTCCTTAGCAGAGGATGCCAAGTCTACATAATTAAATGACAAGTACAGTGCAAAGGGCTAACAAGGAAAAGGTCCTGATGATCTGAGACAAACAATTTTTAGAGAAAGTTAGATTCACCTATTTCAACATCAGTTTTAGTTCATTAGACCATATTGATATGACAAGTGCTAAATTCAGTCCAATTTAATGTCTGCCAAGAATAGGACTCCATAGTGAAAGAAGGTTTTTATACTATGTATCCATTTAATTACTGTTCATTTCTCATCCTTTGGCAGACTGCCACACATTAGGAGGCGTTTTTTGCCATCTCTTATCCATCCCACAACATCATACAGTCTATCTTCTTTACTTTTTTATGACTGATTTCTTATCTTCTCTATATTGCTGTATATTTTGTGCCAGGCCCTCAGCTGGTGTAAATCAATTTAGCACCACATGCCAATTACCAGAGTTGCACATCATAAGAACCTGGATGCAGTGAACAGGATATTATCTCTTGAAAAATCTTCGGATCAAGTTGCTCCAAGCTGACCAGTCATTCTCTGTGCCTTAATCTACAGTGTTAACATAAAGTGTCTATACCTATCATACAGCGATCACCAAGGAAGAGAAGGATGAACTTAACTTCACAGAAACATCACTAAGAGGACTAATGACAGTTTTCGTCATTCCCTGGGACACACCCACACGGTTGATCTATGCTATACACATACATTAGGAAGGAAGAAGATATCTACATTTTTATTGTACAAAATTTCATTGAGCTTTTCAATGAAAATAGGATTGGTACAATATGTGATCAATCACATCTTGTTCCAAAAAATAGAATTCATAGAAAGTACTTTGTAAAATTTTTATGAAGCTCCCTATAAACCTGAACTGATAATGCATAAGTTGGAAACAGCTTGTCTTTTGGACTCTTTCAAGTGGACATGGAGTCCAAACTGCTCCACAAAATTGAATCTTATCCATCTTTGGAAGCACAGAAGTAATTTCTCATATTCCTGTAGCAAAAGAAAATGTTGGCACATCTTGAAAAATTACAGCTTCCTTCATTTCACTGAGTACTAGTCTTACTCTGCATTTGTATCGTAACATATGGCAAGAGATGCAGATGTCAAGCCATTATGTATTTCATGTTAATTACTGATCTCAAATGTTCAAATTCTAAGCTGGATCATCCAAATTCTTCTATGAGATTTGGGGGTGGAGATGACTCTGGCGCCTGCTTAAAAATCTTGCAGTTCCCAGGAGACCTGTCTGGAGCCCAGAGTAGCAGCAGGAGTTGAGTGTCACCTGACTGGAGGCCCCATCTTCTGCTCCAGCTCATATCCCAGGCAGCTCCCCTGCCCACTCCATTGGAGTCATGCTGCCAGGCCTTCTCCGGCCCCAGTCCTTTAAAGCAGGTTCCTTGTCACGGAAGAATCCCTGGGGTTCCAGGGTATATTACCTTTTCAATCTCCACAGTGCCAGATGACATGATTTATGTTCCCCACCCAACCCAGTCCCCACCCCTTCCCCCATACAGAGCAAACCATCAATATGTCATGGGAAGGGATGGGATGGTGCTGTGCAGGCAATTGGCAGGACCCATCTGCATGAAAGATTTGACATCAGCAAGTGGAGTTTCCCCTCCATGCACAGAATTAGGGTCACAATCTGCTTTTGAATATGCTACTGTAAATTTGAAATAACCTCATTCAGTTAAAATCTTGTTCTTATTGACAATGTAATTAATTCAGTACTGTGGATTTATAGCAGTATAGGTGAGGGGAAAATTTGATCTAAAATATAGAAAAGTGTTAAGACAATCAAATACAAAATTATAATTAATCATAAGAGCTTCAGAACATAAGAATGACCATACTGGGTCAGACCAACAGTCCATCTAGCCCAGTATCCTGTCTTCCGACAGTGGCCAATGCCAGGTGCCCCAGAGGGAATGAACAGAACAGGTAATCATCAAGTGATCCATTCCCTGTTGCCCATTCCCAGCTTCTGGCAATTCAGACTCAGATAACAAGCATTTTGTCATTTTTTCTTCATTTAATAACTAGAAGATTTCTTATACAGAAATAATTATCAGAGGGAGATACTGTACTCTTTAGAGGAAAATTTTCAATTTGTCTACCCACACATGGGTACACAAATTGGCATTAGTACTCACAAATCAAGCAATTGTACATGTAAACACCAAACTGTACACACAAATCAGTATTTGTGTGCACAGCTGACTACTTTTTAGAAACAAGCTAAGGTATTTACATATATTTAAAGAGGCATTCCCAGAATGTACAGGTACAAGCCAACTGGAAATGTGTCCCTTAATTTAGTCTCTCTATATATACATATATACACACTGTTTTGAAATCATGTAGTTTATGGACAGTTTTTGAGCAATATCCTGTATTTTAGATAATATGAAAAAGAAGGAGGAATATTGCTCCCACTATGATGAGCAAAAATTCTCATCTTCTGTACTTCTGAAAAGAATCAAGATTATTAAACATGCTGGCACACTGCTGAGGAGATTCAAGGCATCTGTGGCCATGCTACTTGTTTTATACTCTGTCTTTCAATACTATTAAATCTGTGATAGTCTCCTTAGTTTGTTTTATAATTCCATTTTATGTGGTTCTGGTTTTCAGACAGATTCAAGAATGACACAATCGCCTTCCTCCACCCACAGACCTTGGATTCCTGCCATTGGCTACACCCCTCCAACTAATGTGGAACATGAAGCTATGTCTGGTCCCATATGTCCATAAATGGAAGGAAGGACAGCACAGATGATGTAGGAATGAATGAATGAAGCAAGCGTCCACAGTTTCTTTGCTGACTGTAGATCCCTAACACAGGCATAGCAAGGCTTATTTTTAATGGATTCATTTTATTCTGTTTTTCAGACAGGAGTGTCATTTCATTGTCAGGTTGTTGTTTTAAAAATGAAGTAAATTAATCTAACTATAAGCTTTATCCCAGCTGTTGAGGTGAGAGCAGATCTCTTCTGTCTGAGCATACTAGCAGCAAATAAACTATGCAGAATGTTTGTTTGGCTGAAACCACTGCATAAGTAGTTATATAAGTGCACTTGAAATGTTCCGAATTCTTTTGTTTACTGAGAAATCCTTCATCTTTTGTAAATTAAAAACTCAAAGTTATTCTTACTTCAACTATTCCGTATTCTTATGCCCTGTATCAATCATTATTCTTTGGATTATTAACAAAACTTTACTGAGTATCATGTTAAACAATTATAGGACAAATAATACCACAGATGACTGTTGCTTCCCAGGGTTTGTATTTATCATCACCCGTATTAGTAATAGTTCAAGGCCTGATCTTATGTCCCATTCTCATATCAGTACTCCTTAAAGTCAATGGGAGCATTTGCATGAGTAATGGGTATGCACTTCAATATGGCGTGCAAGATGAGGCCATTAAGCTGAAGGAAGGACTATATATAGAAACATTAAGGCACAGTGATGTTGGGGAAGAATGTGCAGGTGCACCGCCCTACATAAATGCCAGAAAGAATTATTGCTGAAGTAGACACAGTATTTGGATCCCTGCATCTCAGAGAGTGCTGTTGATCACCCTTGGAAAGAGTAATGTCTTTTCCCCTGAGTGGCTAGCCATGGTTCCACACACTCTCTATCCTCCCTCACCCAGTTTGGAGAAGTTAGCACTGCAGTGTCATTAGCCTCACAGAGACCTTACACTCTGTGGAAGCTGCTTAGGGTATTGGCACTGCATTTGGCAAAATATACAAAATGTGTAACACACATACGTGCACACAAACACACACACGCATTGGATAGTATCCAGGGAAAGAGAGAACCATACAGAGAGCAATAGCAAAAAACACTATGAGTTTATTCAGGATGCTGGAAAATTTGTATAGCGGGGGTGCTGAGAGCCATCGAACCAACCTGTAAACCCTGTATATGATCGAAACCACTTCAAGCCGGGGGTGTGGCCATAGGTGCTGGAATAAGGGTGCTGGGGGTGCTGCCACACCCCGTGGCTTGAAATTGTTTCCATTATATACAGGGTTTACAGTCTGGTTCACTGGCTCTCAGCTTCCCCCCATACACATTTTTCCAGTACCCTTTGTTGCACCAGCACCCCCAGCATCTCTTGTTCCAGCACGTATGAGTCCATTAAAAAAAATCAAAATCCTTTCTGAATTCCATTTATTTCTCCTCCTTGATCACTACCTTTCCCTAGGCTTTGGCTCATCTGGTCCAGAAGTTAATGCATAATTGAAGGCATGATTTTCCTCTCATGCCAGCAGAACTCCACTGGCATTATTTCTGATTTACACTTCGTTAAATGAGAGTAGCATCAGCTGTAAGTGATGGAATTCAACTCATTTAAAACTTTTTAAATTAAAAAAACCATACAACTGTATTTAAATTTCTCATAATGGAAAAATATTATTGTACATACATTATCAGAGATAGGTACGCATAGAAACATGAAACATGCCCACTATCTTCTTTCACTTCCAAAGAAAAAAAATGTCTTGAATGTCTGTTGAGTACTAGGAGGCAGCTATATTTTTATGGTATTCAACACTGATTTATGTTTTATTTCTGGAAGCATATTAAGAACTAGGAAAAGTCTTATTCAAGATGAATAGTGGATAATGTCTCACTTTCCCAATACCCCTCTGTTCAGAAATACTTCCACTGGTGTGAGTTGTCATAGCTTTTTGAAGTCAACACAGCTACAACAATTTAAACCAGTTGAGGATATGTGCCATTGATGTTCTATGATTTGTCCCATATCTAACGACAAAGTATCTTCTTGAAGAACAGTGGACATTCTTAATGGAACACCAGAGGCTACATTTAGAGCTAAGAGAATACTAGAAACAACATTTTCTGTTCTAATTTTAACATTCATTCCCCTTCTATGTTTGCTTTCTGTCAGAATTCTAGAAAATGAGTTTATTGCCAGGAACGTTTGCAGAAACAAAAACATTACTCTAATATAGCAGAATATACACAAAGTTAATATTGAATTTATAATCACCATTAGCTGCACTGGAAATCTGATTCTTGGAGTTGGATTCAGTCCAACAGGGAACAGGAGCCTATCATGTGATCCATAAGTACCAAACAATTCAAATGGCAAATATTTTTTACACTTAAAAAATGGCACACAAAACAATCTGTAGACCAATTTGGACAATCTGGGGACAAAAAGAGAGTCAGATGTGGTCCAAATAAATCATTAGGGAGGAAGTATTTGTCTGAACTGAATTGTTCAAAAATGAGTTTATTCACACACTAACATTGGCATTCTCATGTTTGTTACAACATTATAATTTTAATCTTGGCGTATTATATTCTGTTGGATTCAAACCATGTATTTGTCCTTCCCAAGTGCTAGCATAAGCAGGCTATTGATAACTGGTTATTGATCAATTATTAATTGATTACCAGTAATTGATAACAATTTAACTATGATTATATGTTTATGTCTATATGTTTAATGAGAGGGGTTCTTTCAAATCTGGATTAGTTTAATAATTAACAAACCTCCAATAAATCATCTTTGATTGGATTTACTGATGTAACAGTTAGTAAAGACAGCACACACAGAGAGAGGCATAGTTACCAATTACTGCAGAAGACCTTCCCCAACGCCCGTAGTTCTCTCTGACAGCCTGCGTTCAATCTCCAGATGGTCTTATTTTCTCTTGATTTCTTAGGGTAATTATATCCTTATTACTCTATTGTTTATCATTCCAACCCTTATCTATTTATTCCTTTTGGTACATTCTTCTTATCTCAGGTTATTTTCTAAGTTCCTTATTCCCGTGTAATGTTCCAACTACCTCAACACCTTATGGTTAGTTATTATTTATTTCCTTTGTTGAGGTAATGATATTTCTTATACCTCTTGCACACTTTTGTGTTTAATGTTACTAAAATATCTGTTGCAGCAATTTCAAAATATGCTAAAGATTACTGCTTAATAAAATTTCACTCCTTAAAGTTAGCTTAACTGCAAAGTGTCATGGGACTCTTGTTTCCAGGCAAAACTTACATTCTTTCTTTGACCTGTTTTAAGTGTCAACAAGGCCACTTGCTTGCCAAAGAGCTGAATTTGGTCCCTAGATTTCACAATATCACATACGCAATACAAAAAATACCAGCCATGGGAGACACTGGAAGTTTGCGTGTTCTAAAGAAACAAAAAAGAAAGAATGCAACTCCATGAATTAATGTTCTCTATTAGAGGTGTGGTTATACTTTGAGACTGGGACTTTCAATCAAAAGTGCTCAGCATTGGCTTAAGTTTGCTTCCATTTAAATCAATGTTAAAACTTCCATTGACTTCTGTCCAAGTCTGAGTGCTTTTGAAAACCCCACTCTTAATTATGAAATACCATGTAAAAGAATCAAATGGAGACAGATCTGTCCTTAACTGAGAGAATAAAGAAAGTTTAGAAGATTGAGAATCCAATATTTGTATTAAATTATTGCATTGTTTATTACACTGCTTAGACATCTTTGTTAGAAGAACACAGCAATAAATGCATTTAAGAATGATTTTAGAGAAAGTTAGAGAACTGGCACTTTTATACTATATAACATTTTTTTCAAATGTCTAAAAAACCCAGGCTTACCTGGTTACTGTTATGTTTTGGAAATTAAAAGAATTTTAAAAGAAAAAGCAATTTTGCCATCAGTTCTTGCCTTATATAACTGTAATTCTTAGCGTTAGGGGAAAAAAAGACTTTCATTCACTCATGGGTGATACTTTGGCTCCATGTGCATTTATATAGGTAAGAAGAATTTTGGCACGCCTTTCTACCACATCAATAAGTTTTTCAATTCCTCGGCGACCTCCTTGGCTCTCCCAATATACTTTGTCAAGGAACAGAGACTGAAGAAGCTTCTCTCGCAAGCGCTGGCTTTTCAGCACTGAAATTGCAGATTCAGGGAACCTGAAAAAGTGTGAAGGAGTTTATCAGCCTTGGCATCACTCTGAACTACAATATTTATGTTGTAGTTTAACAACCAATTCCATGGATTCATCAATGTATTTCAGTGCATGCCTATCTGTATGTACACAGTCCTATTTATTTCTACTGACATGCTTAAAGTTAGACACCACAGCACTTCGGTGAGTTGGGGTAATAATCACTGATCCTGGCACTGATTCTCCATTCTAGCCGACCAGCTTAACAGCTCAGGATGGGGTGTTTATAGGTGGGTGCACACCCAGATTCTGGGACTATCTGGGCTGCTAGGGATCAATCAGGCACAGAGATATCCTGACCATACCCAGCGTTCTCATGGCCAGGAAAGGGGGGGATGTAAGAGCTGCTATGGAAACTCTATATCATCAAATGAGACCCCTATTCAGACTCTCCAATGTCCCAATTAAGGCAAGTTTTCCACCACAGGAGTTACCCAAATGTGCGAATGAATCAAGCCCACATTACTCAAAACTATCCTAAAATCTCCAAAACTATCCTAAAATCTCCAGACTTTTTAAAAAAAAACGTCTAGATTGTTTGAAATTTCGCATATCAATAGCAGCTATAACTGTACACTGGACATATTTGCAAAACGTTAACTGGCCCAAGAGCAACTCAGCAAAACTCATTAGCTATTGTTAAAAATGCTAATAGCCACTGTTCACCCGCTTTTCATTCAGCTTCCCCTTCAAGATTAACTTCTTTTGAAATACCCACAGAAGTCAGTCAAAGATACCTTTTATTTATATTGCTTTAAAGTGAAGAAGAAACATGATTCCACCACGATAAACACTTGCCCTAACTAAGTAATCATGGCATTTTAGGGCCCTTGTTTATAATGTTTTTTTTTCCTTTTTTAAAGCAGTGTGAACTCCAGGTGTAAATGCATGGCAACCTATATAAATGGGGCTTGCACTGATGCAATTTATTCCAGTAACTGACAGCATGCGGTGTTTCTGCATTGGGGGCTTACTGCAGTAACTTACCCATCTGCAGAGTGTCTACATTAGAGGTTTCCACCGTGTAATGACACCAATGAAGTTATACTGGTGCAGATTTTCCTAGTCTAGATAGGCTTATTGATCTCACACCTCCATCCTCCTTCATCTCCCTTTTGTCAGTCATGCCTTTGTAGGCAAGGATCTTGCTGTATCTGTTCTATAAAGCACTTAGCATACGTGTGATGCTCCAAGTAATAATAATATCTGCCTAGACACAAAAGTATGTATACCCGTACCTTAGTTTAGTCAAATTTCCCTATGGAGGAGACATAAAAGAGACACTGGGGCTACTGCAACAATGTCTTCTTTTTTGGGTGGGGAAAGAAAAGAAAGCTTCCTCATTCACAACCTCCTAACCCCTGGGGACATCCTTAGTGCACAGCCCTTTCATTCAGGCTATGTGTTGAGGAGCGAGAGAGGAGAGACTTTGATCCTAAATGAAAAGTTAGGAAAAGCCTATTGAACCCTATTAAAATTTTTAGGGATATCCTAAAACTTACTCTTTGATTCCTTGTAATATTTTGAAATCCAGATTGTCTTCGCTTCTGTCAAAGAAACCTTTATTATCTATAAAGACCAAGTGCCTAGGGTCATGCCTTCTCTGAATAATGTGTGTCAGGTCAACAGAATCTTGATCTTCACATTTCAGCTTCAGTCCTTTCTGAACACAGGAATCCTCCTTGCGAGGTTTGAACCCACAGCAATTTCTGTCCAGTCGATTGTAGATCTGGAAATGAATATAATATATGACCAAAATGAAATGCAACAGGGTGCAAAGTTTGACTCTTAGCTATACTGGCCGGGATGCACAAAAGGAGCTTGGTGCCCAAGTCCCAGTTTTAGGTTCCACTGTGGTGACCAAAATGCCCACTGAACCTTGTAGGCACCTAAACTTTTGCAATAGAAGGTCCTCAGAAGCCTACATTTCTGCCTCTGAGCATGCACACTGCTGCTTTCTTTTAGGCGTCCAGGTGCCTATCTCCCACCTTAGCCCCAGAGCAATTCACAAACCAGGAGAAGCCAGGTGTTCAATCAACGGAATCACATGAAGGTGACTCTGAGCACACCTACCAGATTGGACCACTTAGGCAAGTTCACACAATACAGATGGGGGGGAGGAGGGAGAAGCAAGATCTCCCTCATAAGTTTTAGCCTTGGTTATGATACCCGCTGGGATATGGGACACCACCAATCAGAGTCTGCCAGGCACTTGAAGGGGAGAAGGGATTTGAACAGGGATCTGCCACCTGTTAGATGAGTGGTCTACCCACTGGGCTATGCTGAGGTGGTGCACCCTTCAAGTCTCCCTGTGGAAGGTGTTCCACTGTGACTAAATAAAGAATCATTGAAGCAGGGGGACTGGATCTCCCACATCCTCGGTGAGCACGCTAACCACCAAGCTATTGAGTCACTCACGTTTCTGCTCTCCCTCTCTGTTCCAAATGACTCTTTAATTATTTAATCTAGAATGCAACAACATCACAGGAGAGACGAAGGGAGCCTCACATCAGACTATCCCACGGCCAATGGTCAGAGCACTCACCTGTGAGGTGGCACATCCACAGGTGTGGGGAAAGGGGGATTTGAATCAGAGGCCTTCCGCATCCCAGATGAGTACCCTAAGCACTAAGCAAAGAGTTATGAGGGAAGGGAGTGGTTGGCCTCCTTTCCCCCCCGCCCTCCCCGCCCCCACCACCACCAGCACCACAACACTGGCTTCTTGCAAAAATGACAGAGGCACCTAATTCCAAAGAGGTTCCCCAGCTGTGAAATGCTAGTAGCGATAGGTACTTCCCTGTAGCCTGGACTAAGGCCTTTATCTCATAGGGGAGGGAATGCTTACCACACACCCCTCTTGTCAGCATATCCCATTGGCTAGCTTAGGTGTCTCCTTACCTAATGTGATGGTTTTTATGAATCACATAAAGGGACCTATCTCTCCCCATTCATTGTATAGGAGCTTAGGTAACAAATTTGGACTTTGTGAATCACATTTAGGCATCTAGAAAATCAAAGTTAGGCACTGTGATGCTCAGCATCACCACGCCTAACTCCTGGTGTGGATCCAGGCCATCTATTACTTAGACTTGTCGGAGTCTGGAAAAAACTATCATTCCTTACTAAACAGCATCCCAGGTTCATGAATACAGAGCAAACTTAATTAAAATCAGTTGAGGGGGGGGGAGAGGGAAGAGCTCAGTATTGATCCTCCGCAATTCATCTATTATTAAAACCCATTCCTAGTCTCCATGTTGTACCTATAGGTCCTGATTCACTCCTCTGTTATTCCAGTCTTGCACCAGTGTAACTCTATTAAAAAAAAATCAATGGAGTGATAGCAGAGTCAAACCTGAGTAACACAATGGGGAAATCAAACCCAAGATTTTTCAGAAAGCAGCATCTTCTTTAATTCTCTGAGCTGGAATATAATAGAACTGATACAGACTTAAATACACTAAGGAAAGGATTGCATCATATAGTGTGTTATAGGCAAAGTAATGTACTCAACAGTTAAGAAATGCCAGAATGAAGGTTGCCTGTGCAGCCTTAATTCAGCCTTGTTTTGTGAATGCATTATGATACAGTCTTCTTCTACATGCTACTTTTTCTGCAAGACCTCTGTCTCATTCAGTGCACAGGACAGATGGTGATCAATTAAATGAGTACCTATTCAATATTTAGTTTTATCATCATTGTTCAAGTTGCGGCCCTCAGACTGATTTGCTGCACTGTAGTCAAACCCTGCTGTGAATACAGAATTATCAATTTCCTCATGGATATGGTGCTTTACAAAACATTCATTTATCTTCATAACATGCCAGTGAGGTGAGGTGATATTATTATCCTGATTTTACAGAGGGGGAACTGAGGTACAGGTTAAAAAATGTCCATTTATTTTGTAATTTATTTATGTAATTACAGACAGTATCAAAATGCACATGCACAAGGGGTCTGAATTAAGATTCAGATAGGGTGACCAGACAGCAAGTGTGAAAAATCGGGACAGGGGGTGGGGGGTAATAGGATCCTATATAAGAAAAAGACCCCAAAATCGGGACTGTCCCTATAAAATCGGGACATCTGGTCACCCTAGATTCAGATAACTCTAAATCTGACATGTCCTAACTTTTGATTGCTTGACTTTGCAACTTTAATGTTTTAGTGTAGCTGATGTATTTTTATATCTTGTGTATTTAATATATTTCTCTAGTTTTAAATAACTGACATGGTGGAGATTTTACTTGAAAAAAACTATTCCATGGTCTAGCAGATTGCACTCTTACCACACTTTTCTTGATATGCAGATTATTTTTCTCTTTGATCAATGTCATCCTATTAATCCTTCGTATATCTACCAGGACCACCCTGCATAATCCCCCTGCTTCCTTGACATTTACACATTTCAGCTACTTGTAACCTGTTACCATACCTCATACCTCTCCAGTCATCATTTAACTAGGCTACATATATTTACTTATTTTAATCTGTCCTCATTAATCCCTTCAACTACTGTCCCTTGTTCTCTGAATTCCCTCCAATTTCTCTGCATCTTTCATCTCAGTTCAAACTCAAACTTACAGTATTACACAAAATCTTCCCACAAATGGAAATTTACTCCTTTGATTTTTAGTACCACTTGTGCTACTAGTTACTCTCCTAAAACTCAACCCAGGAAGTCCTTACATGGGTATGCCATACTCTAGAGTGCATGTGACTATTTGTGTGATTTATATGATGTGCTCAGGTGAATAAGAGGCTGCAGGATCAGGCTCTTAATTAAGATACTTTTTCCTATAACCAAAGTAAGAAGATTTCCGACTTTAGAGGGAACAAGGGCAAGCTAGCTGGCAATAGCTAGGATCAGGAAAACCTCAAAGTGAATGAAGGGTAGCCAGTCACCATCTCTCGCACAACTAGAAAATGTGAGTATCAACATGTTTGAAGTTATTCAGGCAAACCAATCTGCTTACTAGTACTGGAATAGCTCAGAGGTTAATACTCAAATGCAATACTTGCAAAGTGGTTAGAGAATTACTAGCCAACTGAAGGCTTCTCAGTCCATTTACATGCAATACATTGATCACTTTTACTAGTGATGAATACAATCAATTATGTTAGTCATGTCACCTCGGGTTCCCTTGTTCATCTGTCCCTTTTTATGGATTTTTCATGTATCCATGTTCTCCTGTTGAAATGTCTCTAAAGATAGCTGTATGTTCAAGTACATCCTGAGAAAGTATGAATTGTGCAGAATGAGCAGATCTCAAACACATATTCAGCTGCTTGGCATACACTTCTGACAAGCGGCAGGGCATTTGGTGGAAGTGTAGGATACCCCAGATTTGTAGCCTGCCTTGTAAAAGTGATTTGCTTCCTTTTTATTTCATGAATGGCTCAAGCCTGCTGCATCTCATCTAGTAGTTAACATTTATTTCTGGATAACAGCAGAGATAACATAATATTCATTGCTAAATTGCTGTCTTTACGCTAGAAGATACTAAAATTAAAAATTAATAGATACTTCTGTGCATCAACACAGGAACCATGCTATCTTTTACACCATTAAATGTGAACACATTAGCATTTTTAGATTAACAAATCAAAATCCATTTAAAATGCTCTGACACACACTGTGCTATTCCTATAGGGTTATTGCTATGTTTAGGATCAATATAATCCACATATGACTTTATATCAGATTACAAGCATTACTCACTCATAGTAGGACTGAGATGGAGTCATTATACAAATGACAACCTATTTTAGGCAGAAAATTCACGTTCTATAATTACCACAAGCAGCATTGGATAAATATAACTCAAAACGTGAAACATCCATTCGTCCTGGTCAAAAACAAAAACTTGTGAAGGACAGAGATAGACTGTGTCTAATCAAATGCAATGATTTCTACATTTTAAAAAACATGACTTTCTAGAATGTTGAATTGTATGAGAGATGAAATTCTGCATATAAACAGGGGTTATCGTAGCTTCTAGATGCAGGTGCCTGGTGGGGGCAGTACAGACATGCACTAAACTAACAGGACCTCCTGGAGAAACAGTGTAGCCACATCTCCATATTATGTAGGAGAAAATGAAAGATGTGCCAACTCATAAGAGGGTGTATCATGAAGTTCCCTCCACATCCAAGCAGCTCTGTTGGCCAATGTAAGGAATGGGTGGGAAAGTATAGTCTTGAGGTGTCTAGTGCTGCTATCCCTAATTCTCACTGTGCTCAACTGGTTGCAAGGGCTGAGATTATGACTGAACCCTAAAATGGGGAAACATAAGCAGGAGTAAGTCTCCTTGAGCCCTCCTACTCCTTGCACACCTGCTCAGTGGTCAATTATAGCCTAGTCCATGGGATTATATTTGGTCAAAGTATGAATTTAAAATATAGTTGACCAAATTATTCCCTTAGTTACATCTCAATGTATTACATGAGTTGCATACTGAGGACGGAAGAATTATGGAGAGCAGCCTGTTCTGCATAGCGTAAAAAGAATCTCAGAAATCAGAGATTGAAAACACTTATTAGGTGGTCTAATGCAAGGATTGATCCCTACAGTATATATGTAAGAAAATATTTTCAAAATGGTTGTGATGGTGATGGATACACATGCCTTTAGTACTATTTTGCACTGGTGTACTAGTATGGATCAGAACTTTAGTCTTTTGTGGGGTTAGGATGTTGCCCTAAATCCGAGTTTAAGTGGGGCAATCTCATTTTTCAGCCTACCCCGTTATAACTGCCAGCAGCTGTCCTGTTTCTTCACACAAGCCCAAATCTTCATTCACCCATCAAGGTCTTAAGTGGAGTTCTCACACTGGGAAAAATCTACAACTATCCAGACTTCAGTCAGTATGAACAAACTGCCAGCTCCTTTTGATCCACCAAGTTACATGGCAGAAAAAATATAGACAGAGGGACCAGGCTTAAGGGGAGGAAATAGTAGCCCTGCTACAAAGATGAAGTAAATGGACTAAGTCAAGACATGGACTGCTGTGAATGGATTAAGTAAAGGCATGGGTTGATCTGTGAAGTGTTCCTATCATCTATTCTTTTTGTGTTTGTGCCTGTCTGCATTAAGGACTAAGGTTATGATTATACAGTCCTTAGTCATGTAATGTAATTTGCCTGATCTCCATTGACAAGCCATGGCTTACATAATGCTTATGTTTTTGTTATCAGGTGCCTTATCTCCAGTTTACCTTTGAGCTGTGTGTGAAGAGTTGGCAATCAGGTTTGTAAATTTGGTTCATGTCCACTCTTAGCTACTTCCTGCTTTGCTAAGAGCAAGATTTGGTGCTAGGTGTTTGAAACCTACCCCAGTCTTCTATTTTAACTTCAAATCACTTCTGAGAAGAAACAAACTATTAATGAAAGGGAGAGAGATGTTGGGAGTACATGTATTTCTGATTATGAAAATATTCAATCACTTGTTAGAATATGTTTGAAATCTTTGAGACTGAAGTTTTGATCCAAAGCCCATTAAGTCAATGGGAGCCTTTCCACCGATTTCAAAGGGGTTTGTGGTAATCAAACTAACTCATGGGATTAAGTCCCTTACTCCACAAGTAGCTCACTGCAAGGAAAATGAGTAGGAGCAATAAACACTTTTGATGCCAGTAGAAATTACTCAAGTTTCACTTTTCTGATTACCATGTAATAAGAACTGGGTCTAGCTCATAGCAATATCTTACTTAGCAAAAGAATGGGGACAATTATAGAATCATGGAAATGTAGTACTAGAAGTACTAGAAATAGAAGTACTATTTATCTAGTCCAGTCCCCTACACTAAGTCAGGATTCAGTATAATCTAGACCAGCCCTGACAGATGTTTGTCTAACATGTTCTTAAAAACCTCCAATGACAGCGATTCTTCATCTCCCTAAGTAATCTGTTTCAGTTCTTAACTACCCTTCCAGTTAAGAAGTTTTTCCTGTCTAACCTAAATCTCCCTTACTACAACATAAGCCCATTACTTCTTGTCCTGTCCTCAGTGGATAAGGAGAACAATTTATCATTCTCCTTTTTATAACAAACTTTTATGTACTTGAAGACTTATGTCCCCTGCCATCCCAGTCTTCTCTTCTCCAGACTAAACAAACCTGATTTTTTTCAATCTTTCCTTGTAGGTCATGTTTTCTAGACATTTAATCATTTTTGTTGCTGTCCTTTGGACTTTCTCAAATTTGTCCACATCTTTCCTGAAGTGACAAGGAGTCCGGTGGCACCCTTACGGTGCCACCGGACTCCTTGTTATTTTTGTGGATACAGACTAAGACAGCTACCCCCTGATACTTTCCTGAAGTGTGGTGCCCACAACTGGACATAATGCTCCAGTTGAGGCTTAATCAGTCCTGAGTACAGTGGAAAATTTGTTTCTCTTGTCTTGTTTACAACGCTCCTACTAATACATCCCAGAATGAAGTTCACTTTTTTAGAAAAATGTTACATTGTTGATTCATAATTAGTTTGTGATCCACTATAACCTCCAGATCCTTTTCTGCAGTGCTCCTTCATAGCCGGCTTCCCATTTTGTATTTACGCACTTGATTGTGAAATCCTAGGGATGTGTGAAAAGTGCATACAAACTCCATAGATTATAAAGCCAGAAGGGACAACTGTGATCTTCTAGTCTGACCTCCTGTATAACACTGGCCATAGAACTTCCCTACATTAATTCCTGCTTGAACTAGAGCATCTCTTTTAAAAAAAATATCTGATCTTGGTTTAAAATTTTCCGTTGATGGAGAATCCACCACAATCCTTGGTAAATTGTTCCAGTGGTTATTCACCCTCACTATTAAAAATGTCTAAATTTGTCTTGCTTCAACTTCCAGCTATTCAACTCTTGGCATCTCTCTGTTATATCTTGTTATACCTTTGCCTGCTACAAAGAGCCCTCTATTATCAAATTTCAGTTTTGTGCATAGAGGTATTTATATGTCAGGATCAAATCGTCCCCTAATCGTCCCTCCTTGATAAACTAAATAAATTCAGCTCCTTGAGTCTATCAATATAAGGTATGTTTTCAATTTTTTAAATCATTCTTGTTGCTCTTCTCTGAGACCCCTACAATTTTTCAACATCCTTCTTGACTTGTTGACACCTGAAACAGACACAGTATTCCAGCAGTGGTTGCACCATTGCCAAATACCAAGGTAAAATATCTTTACTTTACTCAATATGCCCTTGTTTATACATCCAAAGACCGCATTAGCCATTTTGGCCACCCCTTCACACTGGAGGCTCATGTTATATCACTTGATGTCCTCTTGGCAAGAAGAGTGCTGATGAAGGAATATCATTTATTCTTTTTAAAACATTAACAAGAAGGAAGATATAAGATCAATGAGATCCTCACATCTATGGCTGAGTAACAGCAGCCTTTTGCTGGAGAAGGGGAAATGAAAAAACTGGTGTCACTGCAGGTGATTCTCTGCCTTTTCCAAGAGCATGTGAGACTGGCACTGCAAAAAAACTTAGGGCCAGGTCCTCAGCAGATAAGGTCTATTAAATGGAATGAAAATTAGTCACATCAGCTAAGGATCTGTCCCCATGACTTAATAATAGAGGTCCTGACTCTCCAGTGCCTCACACCTTGTATATTCATTTACACCTGTACAAAGTGGGTGTAAAATGCTACCAGAATGGCAGCAGTTTACACTCACTTTCCACAAGTGTAAATGAATACACAAAGTGCAAAGCAGTGCAGAATACAACCTATTGTCTTTTATCTTTTGGGGTTGTACAGCGTACCAGAAACAAGCCAAAGGAGCACAAGCACATATCTTTCTCATTAAAGACAAAAACTAAAACCATCTTTTTAAACACTCCCCTTCTGCGAAATTGCAACCCAGAGTGAATTTTATCATTGGACATATCTGTGAAAATGGTTTATCCTTAACCAGACTGGTGCTCAAATAAATCTTGCAAAGGTTGGTATTCTTTGTACCTTACCTGCAGAAGAAAATCAAAGAGTGCCATCTTGGACCACTCATGGTGATGGATCTCAGTACAGCCCCATTCAGCTTTGGGCACTTTGCCATTCTGCCAGCACTTCTGTTTCAATAGCTGCTGATAGGCCCCCCAATTTAGCCTCACTGAAGAATGGGTCCTATTATTTGTTGGAGCCAATGAGGAATCCCAGAGAATAACAGGACATGGCAGACCATCTGAGAAGAGGCAAAATAGAATCAGTACCATATATGAATTTATATTGGAAACTAAAAGAACTTGATCATTCTTTAGACATTGTCTCGGGCATCACTAATTACAGCATTTGTTTTTAAAGAAGACCTTTCAGATGTGGCAGGAAAAAGCTACCATGCCCCAATAATTTCACATCCTTTGGTTTATGTGGTCATATTCCACATCTGAAAACAGCCACCACAGAAAAGGAAAAACCCTATACATTATAGTTCTCTTCAATGTCTGAGAAGAAATGCTCTCTGTTTGCAACAAGAGCTGTCTGCTTAAAAGTCACTCTACTTTTGGAGGCTATTAAATCAATTTTAAAAGTTTGGCATCCGATCCACAGCTGGGGTAAATTAATGAAGCAATATTGATTTTCACCAGCTGAGGATCTAGCCCAGTGTTTCTTCCTTTCTAAGGCAAATATGAAAAGAGAGCAAATCCTGGAGTCCAGCCAAAAAGTGGAATTATTTTGTCATCTTTAGAGTTTTAGTCCTACAGATATAATATTTCACAGCTGTAAATAGAAAGTTTATAGATAGACTATATGATGGTGTGGCATGACTTTGGTTTTATCATTCATGAACAATATGTTCTTGCCAATGAGTCATACAGATCATCCCAGAGTAGTGCTGATAAGACCTTTATTCCACCCCACAGTGTCATATGTTCTTCATATACGATATATATTTTACAGAAAATCCATTTTAGAAATGTTTTAGTCAGTTTTTAAAATGTATATAAATAATATTTGTCTTATCCCTCTGGATGTAAAACCAGGTGCCTTAGGTATGATGAATCCATCTGTACAGGGCTGAGAGAGAGAGAAATTATAATCACCATGTTATGTTCATTGCATACACACAGAGAAGCTAGATGAAAAAAATAAATACTTTTGTTGGAAGGTTTAAGGTAATACTACTTTAATTCTTAGAATTCTGAGTGATAACACACGAGAGAGAGAAGACAGGCTCGTCTCTAATGCAGTGAGGCAAAATTGTCACTACCTTGTTTTTAAACTGGCTCTTTCCAGATTGATCAGATAGGATGCTTTGTTACAAAGCACCCTACCCCACAAGTAGGACCGGGAAACCCCCACCTATGCTCTTAAAATGGTAGCTTGCAATTCCAACACAGTCCTCAATCCACCACACACCACATTTTAGAAACCTCTAAAAATTACCCAAAATTGCTGTTTGCTATATAATAATGTCACTATATTTGAGTCATATATCTCAGAACATACAGCACCAGGGCTATAAGTAAGTGGTGTGTATCCTATTGGAAAAAATGGATTATTTTCTTTCCAATGATACAAAAGTTCTTATTGCTAACTCTGATGTCCTGCCTGATGCTTAAACCTGTCACTGAACCAGGGCTGAATACTGGTGTTGCACTTCAGAGCAGAGTAATATTTTTGAGGTGTGGCAGGGAGGAGGGCAGGGAATTTACATGTTTGTATGCAAAGAAGGAAACATTTATATGGCAAGTTATTAGATGGCAGTTACTGAAATATGATCAAAGGTTTGGAATTTTTGTATGGTAGTCCTGATCAGTGAGCAAAAAAGTGCAGGCAAAGTGTTCAAATTTTATGCTACATCCAAATGATCACATTGCTACCACCCTGACATGTGTTACATTGCAGAGCAAATCATCTCACTATTTCCTTCATGTACATATTGAACAGGAGAGGTGGCAAAAGAGACTTGCAGCACCCCACATGACAGTACTCTCAGAACAATGAGTCCAATAGCACTCTCAGCATCTCTCTGGGAGCAAAGAATAGAACTACTTAAGAATGAGTCTATCCAGTCCTGCCAAGATCCGCAATTGAGTCAGTAAAACATCAGAAGATGCTGACTGACCTAAAATAATCAGCAAGGACAACTGATGTTTGCCCATTATTAGCAAAGGATCATCTGCCAACAAGGTCTGTGCACTTTTCATACTACTGAATTCTCCCAGGACAGAATGACCTTGAGCAAACCTAGACTGAATAAAAACCTGCTCAACTGTATTCGGAAATTTGAGGTGCAGAAGAATGGGCTGTACCACCAAGATCAGATATATTTCTAACTTTGCCAAATCCTGGCGCGCGCACATACACACACACAAGGTGATCACACTCAAATGAATCCAGTGTACAGCTCCAACCACCTCTGGAACTGTCCTCCTGTTTTCCTTGTTTTCTTAAACTAGGCATCTCCAACCCAGAATACATTTTTCCTCTTATGCCCTCCCATCTCCTTCCTTTCACTACCATCACTGATAGCTACACCATCCTCCCCTGTCATATTCAGCTTCTTGCTGTTCTTTTCCCCCAGAAGTCTATGGGTGCTCAGCAGTTTTAAAAAGCAGGACACTTATTTAGTTGCCTAAATAAGGATTTAGGAGCATAACTTTCGGGAATTTACATTTTAAAAGCTTGGCCCAAATCTTTCATATGCAGTCCAGTCCCCCAGCCTCTCTCATTCTGGGTTCCACTTCTGACACTGTCACTGACTTACCTCTTGACCTTAGTCAAATGATCTCTCAGTGATGCTTTCTCTTTATCTGTGCAATAGGGATAGTGATACTTACCTTGCTTTGTAAAGCACTTTGAAACCCACAGAAAAAAAGCTCTGTATCAGAGTTAAATATGTTATACATTGATGGGCCCTAAATCTGATCTATTTTTCCTTCTATCAATAATCAAAGTTCATGTAATTATTTATGGGGTTTCCCCAAAGCAGATATATCAGTGCTTTCCAAACAAAGCAAACGCCTCCCTGCGCACCCAAAAGGTTCAGCATAACAACCACCACCTCACTGTTATTTATTATTTTAATGTTATGACAATATCATGCCAATTTCCATTCAGATTTGTAAAAAGGTTAAACACAGGAAATGTTTGTGATTCACAGGAAACAAAGATGAACCAAAACAAAACATTTCAACTTTATAACACAAATGGAATTACTGGAGCATGTCTTTGTAGCTGGAGTAGAGAGACATTAACCCAGATTGCTGGCTGCTGCAGGGAAAATGTGAAGGCAGTGAGAAAAAAAGATAAGGGGCTTCATTCTCAGATGGTATAAATTGGCATAGCCCCATTAAAGCATGCCAGCTTACACCAAGCAAGGCTCTGGCCCAATTTGAATAACAACAAAAGGTAGTTATAGGCCTGACCCTACATGCTGTTGAGTGCTTTTAAATTCAGTTGATTACAGTAGGAGCTGAGAGGTCTCAGAAACATCCAGGATCAAGCCCATTATCTCCTACTGCTGCTGGGCCCCTACTCCCAACCATTCCTAGAGATACTGCTCCAGAGAGGCAAGTTAGAACCCCTTTCTTGCTTTCAGTGATGCGGCTACTCCTTGCAATCTTCTCCAGAGATGTCTATGCTCCACATCACTGTAGTATATGAATCTCTCTCATATATATAATTAAAATGTATCCTCCCAAGCCCACATGAGGAAAAGTAGTAGTAATGGAGGCACAGACTGATGTAAGTGGCATGCCCAAGGTCTGTTAATTTAAAAAAAAAAAGAATGAAAGTTGGGGGACACATACCTCAACACGGCTTATATCAGCAAAAGAGCCTTTTGCTAGTTTAGCTTATATCATTAGGGAAGGTGGTCTAACTACAGTGGCAAACAAAAAACCCACACCTTGTTTTGCTGGTATAAGCTGTGTCTCCACTAGCAGTGATGAGCTGCCAAAATCTTAACAACTGGTTCCCTACCGGGTCTTCGGCGGCACTTCGGCAGCGGGTCCTTCACTCGCTCCAGGTCTTCAGCGGCACTTCGGCGGCGGGTCCTTCAGTGCCGCCGAAGGCCCGGAGCAAGTGAAGGACCCGCCACCGAAGCGCCGCTGAAGACTCAGAGTGCTGCTCGGTGAGTACAAGCCCCACGTGTTTTTTTACATGTTTTTTTTTAGTCATTCCTGCCAGGGCCCCATCCGAAACTGTTTGAATCGGGCCCCGCACTTCCTAAAGCTGGCCCTGCACATCGGGGTTGCAAAATTGTATCGGGGGCCGGGTAGGGAAGGTTGTGCCTCCCAAAACAGCCTGTCCCCCCCATCCAACCCCCACCCACGACCTGCCCTTGACTGTCCCCCTCAGAACTCGCAACCCATCAATCCCCCCCACTCCTTGTCCCCTGACCACCCCCTCCTGAGACCCCCACCCTAACTGCCCCCCAGGACCCCACCCCCTACCCAACTTGCCCCGCTCCCTGTCCCCTGATTGCCCCGACCCCATCCACCATCACCCCAACAGACCCCCGGTACTCCCATGCCTACCCAACCCCTCCCCCGTTCCCCGTCCCCTGACTGCTCCACCCCCAGAAACTCTGCCCCCTCCAACCGCTCCCTGCCCCTTATTCAACCCCTCCTCCCAGCCCTGGCCCGGCCCCCTTACCGTGCTGCTCAGGGCAACGTGTATGGATGCCGCGCGGCCTGCTGGAGCTCACAGCCCCACCCCCTTACCATGCCGCTCAAAGCGGCAGGAGCTGCAGAGCTGCCCAGGAGCATTCCAGTGCTCTGGCGCCGGCAGCATGGCACGCTGAGGCTCTGTGAGAGTGGGGGAGGGGCCGGGGAAGCCTCCCTAGCCTTGAGCTCAGGCAGGCCGGACAGGACAGTCCCGCGGGCCGGATGTGGCCCGCAGGCCGCAGTTTGCCCACCCCTTTAACAACCAGTTCTAAGCTGGCTTCTAAATTTAACAACCGGTTCACGCGAACCAGTGCGAACCGGCTCCAGCTCACCACTATCCACTAGGGACCAGTAGAGCTATCCTGGCAAAGCCATCTCCGTGTAAGGTAGCCCTCTGAACAATAAAGAAATGGTGTAAGCAACTTAAACAGATCTCAAAAGTGTTGACTAAAGTATTTCCCTTCTTTCTTCCACATCTTAGCTGTAAGCATTATACACTTTGGAGAAATCTTGGAAGGGAAGAAAATCTTCAGTGTGTGAATGCAGATTTTAAGGAGTCTGTAAGTATTGGATTTTTATGTAACAAAATGTTGTGAGAATATGACCTCTGGTCTCTCACTCACATCCAGCTATATGACAGCAAGCAATTCACAGCACAACTCACTCTGATAAAGGGCACACAAAAGAGACATCATTTAAAAGCTGCTGAATGCATAAGTAAGAGTGAGTTCTCATTGCCTTGACATTAATAATTAATAACGAGTGTGCCTGAATGTTCATATCTTTTGGTGTGATGGAAAGAGCATGCTAAATATGTTGGGTGTAAGAGAAAATCTGAGGCTATCTTTCTCATTGTGTAGAGGTTCGTAAAGAAACATGACAACTCTAATCAATGGAACTTTCTATCACATCTGTGCCAAATTCCCAGCATCCATTTGCACATAACCAGTGATGAAGTGAGCAGAAACAATGCTACTCAAAATCAAATACTTTTGCACTCTAAATAGGTTTTTGTTGCAAAAACAACTCTGTAAAATTCATTGGACTAGATCTTCAGCTGGTATAAACTGGCATACCCCTTCTGACTTCAGTGGAGCTATGCCAGTTCAAGCCATATGAGGATCAAGCCCACATATATAGATAGGGGACCCATTTCAGCACATCAGAAAATCTGGGGTGGAGAAGGGAGTGTTGCCATCATTGCAATCCTGAATAGGGATCTCAGACCCTAAGCAAGAAGTGTAACAAAGATGTTCAGCAACACCTTTAAGTTATATTGGGGTTAGTCCTGAAATCCAAGAAGCCCCCAGAACCATCTCTCTAATGCTGTCCCCTCCAGAGCAGGAGAGAATTTAGCTCATAATCTACCTGTATCCTGCTACTTCACTACAGATTAGGTCCTAAATATGCCAGTACAGACATATCCAGTCTACAGGTGAAGAAAGTCACTATGGACATGCAGTGCAGCGATTTTGCTTGGCCAAAGTGCACAGTAAGATGGGCTGTACCCTGACACCAAACAACTCCCCTAATAGGTATCCCTGCCTGTTTTGTAGGTAAGGGGGCACAGGATATGAGCAAGGAATGATCTGAAAACCTCAGGGCAGCATGTGGAATAGCTACTGATCTACTGAGTAGCCGGCATATGCACTGGAAGTGATGTGGCCTTCTCCAGGGCCCTTCCTACCTCTCTGCAGGAATCATGAATGGTACCTTTCTAAAAAGACAAACTCTTGTACATTTTGTCTTTCCCACTGAAAAACTAATAGGAGGAAGAAGTGTCCCAAAAACTCTGAGTTTAATTTTACAGCGTCTAAGTCATTCCTGTATACAAGACAGTGTTTTGAGGCAGCACAGAGGGACTAGAAATGTAGCCTTGAGGCCATGCAGAAATCCAGATCCATTCTGGTGGACCTGTGGGAGTTTGCCACGGGCAGGAATTACATCCTATACAGATTTCTGCTTGCAAATCAATTTGGTTTGGATGGATGTAAATGAGATACTCCCTAATTCCACACCTCCATGTTGACATTACCAGACCCTAAAGCCCAGATTTCCAGCCCTAGGATGTTCATGTTCATGTTCAGAAGGCTTGGATGTAGGAAGATCATCCACCATTTGCTCCAATGCCCTTACCACACATTTATGACATTTTCCCACTTCTTTGCAGCCCTTGCTTTGCTCATTTATATCTCAGTACCAAAGGAGTTCTTCCAGCTAACACTTACTGCTTGAACACTGGGAACAAAGCAGTGTATATATATATATATATATATATAATAAAATAGAATCATAGAATATCGAGGGTTGGAAGGACCTCAGGAGGTCATCTAGTCCAAC